GAAGGCAAGATTTGTGTGCAACAGAGCAGCACTGGTAGCGAGCTACATAATACCTTCTTTGGCAGCGTTAGGAGTGCTGTTGTTTTCAAAGTATGAAATGAGACATCCTGTTCCCAACACGATTTTTACTTTTGATCTTTCATACGGCTAACCTCTGGGAAACTCCAGGAAAGCACAGACAATAAGACTGCCATTCACTTCAGAGAGATCAGAATTAGGACTAAAGACAGGAATAGCCTTTTTCAGCTCAAGATTTTTTTGAGAAATTCAGAGTGTTGCCCTAAATTTCAGCTTAGTCTCTGCTCAGCATCGTTCTAGCTCCTGGATGCCACATAAACTACATCTGTGCTTCCAACAAAGCCTTCATCTCAGCTGAGCTAAAGGAAAATGACTTAGAACAGTGAGTACATCCACTGTGGTCCTCCAGCAGATTGCTGCTCTTCCATTAACCATCTCCTGGTGCCAGCACAGAGAAGTACTGAAGCAGCACAGCCTGTATTTTATTCTAATTTTGTTTTATTATGTATTTATTTTCCTAGGACTGCCTCTTGTGCTGTTGTCAGTATAATCACAGCTGTTCTCATTCTGAAACACTCAACAAAGACCAGGGTGCTTGTTACATGGAGATGGTAACTAAGGTACTGTTTTGTGGAAGTAGTCTTGCGTTAAGATCAGCAGCTCCTCTAGCGTTTGGGCTGCAGGAGAGCCTGTGTCACAGTTATTCATAGGGCTGCTCTTTGTAAAGCAAACTCCTCTCTTTCAGCAGCCTGAGGAGCTCTGGAGGTGGGCAGGTGCTGCGAGTGGTCAGCAGCTCCGTGCTGCTCTGCTCCCTGGGAGGTGAGTGGCTGCTGCTGGTTCTGCTCTGCTTCTTGCTTTGGGTTTTCCTGTCCTCTGGGGGAGAAGAATCTCAAACTTTTAGGTTGTCTTTGACTCCTGAGAACTGTTTTTTTTTCCTCGTGGGCTTCAGGACAGTTGCCATGGCTGTGTGATCTATGGAACAAGGAGAAAAAAGAACTTGTTTGTTTAAATATTGAATCCTTCCAATCTGAGGGGCAGTTCCATAGTCCAAATGACCCATGACAGTGCAGAGCAGAAAGAGAAAATGTAGGAAGCTGTCATCTGCACTGGAAACCTTCCATCCAGGAGCTTTCACAGAGATGTTGTGTCTCTACAAATTCTGAGAGCTGGGGAAGATGTAATGCAATATCAGACTTAATTTCTTTCTCCTATCCTGCAGTTCCTTACTTTCAAGCAGCTCTTCCAAGCTGAGAGCATTCTAAATTTCTAGACACAATTGTAGCTCTTATACAAAATTACTTATCATGGTGATTGCTGCCCAGTAGCATCATTCCCATGTGAAATTCACCGGTTTTAAAGAAATGAATTACACTATAATAACTTCATTCTTTTTCTGAAGGCACACGAGTTCTTGTCAAGCCGCATTGTAAAGTGAAACCTTCAGGACAGTTTAACTCAGTTATTTTTTCTTCCTTAATACGTGCCTCCCCACATCAATGGGCCTTGTTGTCACGGATTCAATCCTTAGTTTTTCAAGCAGCCCAGCAAAAAGGAAAAGAGAAGAATGACTTCATCTAATTTTTAGGAGCATTTTTGTCTTTATCATGTTAGGTGCTTCCAGTACAGTGTGCAGTTCAGGGCTCAGAATGGCTCTTGAGCAGTCTCCCTACTGATTCACAGCAAATTTTATGTTTAGAAGTTCTTCTAGTCTCTTACATCGGCTGGAGGAGGTATGGGACTTTTTGCACTCCCACTTGTAAGTCATGCTGGAGGGATGTAGGGAAGCACAATGCTTACCTATTATTCCTTCGCTCACTCACAAGCCACTGATATTGAATACTGGCACGCTGGGCAGAAAAACAAAACCAAAATGTTTCTGCTCTGCTGATCACCAGTAATTTACAGTACCTCTAAGAATGTCCAAGTAAATGTTATATGTAGTAAATTTACACTTCCTGAGAGGTTTTGAGGAGCAAAGTGACTTTCTGGGGAAGGCTTGAATTGAGGGAGGTGGAGGACAGCAAATCCAAACTGTAGATGTAGTGGTTGATGGGTCCTTGCTGCTCAACCCAACAAGGTCTGGAGGATGGCTGCCTGTCGGTCGGTCCCAAGGCACGTACAAGAGGTGTAATTTGTTTTTGTGATGGTGTTAGGTAGTATGATGTTGTTGGCAATGCATCAGCTGGGTAGCCAGGAGAAAATCTGTGTAGCTCCTCAGAAAAAGGGCAGTTTCCCAAGTGGGCTTCAAGAGACTGCTTTCATGGATGTGCAGCTGGCACAGCTGAGAGTTGGACCTAATGAAAGCTGTCTGGCTTCCTCTTCCCCACAAAACAAAGGAGAAAAAGGCAGCAGGATCCCTGAAAGCAACAACAGGAAGTTTGGATGTTGGACAGAGAAGGCAGCAGCTGTGTAATTTTGCATAACAAAGCAATTCTAGGAGGTTTTTGCTCATTCTTGTATCATAGCGCATCTTTTTGTGCTGCTGCTGTAGCTACAATTTGGCTGCACTTCGAAATGGATCAGCAGGAGATGGGGGTCATTAAAAAATCCTTAATGAGGCACAGCAGTGGCATTCATCCAGACCCCTCTGTAAGGAGATGTACAGGTCCAGCTTGAGAGGTCGAGCCTCTTGCAACCACCTCCAAGTGCCAGCAGCCAGGTGTGCACACAGCTCTGCAGGGACAAGCATGAGGTGCAGGCATGCTGCTGGGCTGCTTCCAGCTAACAGACCCTTGCTGGTGCCTGGTTTCAGAGCACCAAAGTGAGCTATGCTGTTTGCCAGTCGAGCCATTTGGAGCACAGACAGCTATTTTGGAGTAGGTCTCAGCCTGCTGATGATGCCATTATCAACATTTTACACTTCCTGCCTTCTGCAGTGTGTGGTGCCTCTATCCCTGCTTTTGGAGATACGAGGATTGTAGATCATTCAGGAACATGATTTGAGCATCTGAATTTGCCCTGGCAAGTAATAGTGTGGATTTTGTTCTTGAAAGCTTGGAATGTTAGTGAGCACAATGAATGTGACAATAAAGTTAAGGAAAGAAAGCAATGCACTGGGCAATTCTGGATTTGTTATGATTATTGCAGGAGAAATGAACGAAATGCAGATGAAAATGAGAAGATACTGTGGACAAGGATATTTTTTCTGCAATATGAATTCAAACTAATATCAGTGGGAACAACCACTGATGTTTCAAAAATTAACCCCAGAAACACAAATATTTCAAGAAGGAGAGAAATAATCTCAGAGTAAAAGCCATTGAAAGATGCTGGGAGTATTAGAAGGACTAAAGGATGCCGGTGGGAGATGTTTGGGCTGAAGAGATGTAGGAGGATCTGTAAAGCAGAGGGGCCTTAGTTGGGTGAGGCTGAGCTGCGCTGCCTCCAGGGAGCCCTCAGAAGTATTTCAGAGCTTCTCACTTCATGCTTCCTTTCAATTTCTGTCTTCTGTATCACTTAGTAAAGGAATGTGGTGGTGTTTTTTCTTCTGAATATTTGTAGTTCTTAGTAAAATCAAGCAGGTTTTCTGTTATTTCAGAAACTTGAAAGCAGTTTTTAATCTAGTGCAGCTTCAGATCTACAGTGGGCAGCAAACTGTGATGCACACGGACTTATACTACGGGTGAGAGCATTCACAGACTGACACTGCATGTCAACTCCTCGGCCTGTGCTGGGGTCTCACTGAATCCAGCAGTCACTCTGAGTGTGGGAGCATGAAAAGAGAAGAGGGAGAGCAGCACTGCATTTGGTTTCGTTGGAATTTGGAGCTGACAGAAGCTGAAACAAAGCAGAAATAACGCAAGCCATTCTGCGTGAAATGCACGGACATCTGCTCTCCTTTACAGCAGACTTCAGGTCTGAGCACAGAGCCACTCGTGCTGTGGCAGTTGGACGCTGGCAGGTCAGTGACAGCGCTGGGCATGGCGCTGTGCTGGGTGATAGCATGTTACCACAGGCAACAGCAGCCACAGGAGCTGAACATTCTTCGTGGCCTCTGTGCCTGATTTCTTTCCCTTCTGCTGAGTTGCCCTCAGCCCGGCTCTGTGACTGTCCCCCGGCTTCTGAAGGATGGGGCTCAGCTCCAGGCTGACCTCAGTCCTGAAAGCCAAAGGCATCACTGGCAGCTTCCTCAGCCTATGCTAAATGGGTGAAGAGCTTCAGTTTTGTGCCTGCATCGTTGAAGGTGGCATTAATTGGATGCTGAGCTGAGTCAGCTGGCGGTGGGAAGGAATCATTTCTGGTCTCAGTGGTGGGGTCTTGTCTGGGTCGGAGATGAATCACTTTGACAAGGGTACAGAGTGCTGCAGTGGAAGGGGCACACATTTGGGTGCTGCACTGAGTCATGGCAGAGTTCTCAGAGCTGAGATCAGACTGCAGAATTATTAGTTCCTAAATAAGCACTGTCTGCACCAAACGCACCGATGTTATTGCCATCAGCAGAAATAGAAGGAATTAGTTGTCAGAGAGTGTTTCCAATTTAAATGTTAGCAGCTGTTATTATTTCAGTGTGGCAAATTTTATGGTTTTGCCTACAAGTCTGCTCTCGGTAAATTAAAAATTACGTAACAGCCTGATTGTATCTGCAGTGCATCTCAGTTATCAGGAAGGAACACAAGAGGAAAACTGCCCAGTGTCTGTGGGAGTGAAGGGATATGAACTGATGCTGCCAAACACTGCAGACTGAGCCCAGGTGCCCCCTGCAGCACGCAGAGCTTTGGGTGCTGAGCACCTCACACGGAACTGCTGGGCACTGCATGGCTCTGTACTGTGTGGCTTATGGCACTGCTGCCTTTGTGTGGAGCAGTTCTGCATCTCTAAGTAAAAATAGTGGAGGTTTTGAATTGTCAGCATGTCTGAATTTCAGAGCTGTGTTCTTTAATTCACAGTCACTCCATTATCATCAGTCCTTGGGGGTCTGTGAAACCCTTTATCACATCCGTGTAGTTTCCTGCACGATTTCTTTGCCTGCTAATCCTGCATTTCTCACTCACAGATGCAGTACTGCTCACTGCAAATGAAGAGGAACGCAGCAAGCATCCTCAGGGCATTAAAGCAAATATAAAAGGTAAGAATCCCAGATCAGAGCTTCCAAGGACTGTTTAAACTTTTATTCATAACACAGCTACTGAGTAAAGGGGGGAAAAAAAGGGGGGAAAAAAAAGGGGGGGAGGGGGGGAGGAGGTGATCGGTATACAGCTCAAATTGCTTCTGCTTCTTCACCGAATTGTGTATTTAAAATAAAAGTACAAACTGCTGGCTTCTCTGGAGAACTTCCAGTGTGCTCTCTGATGCAATTGACATATTGATGGGAATATTTAGACTTAGAAAATGTAACCTCTGAATTTTCTACCTCTTGTTCACACACTCAAGCAATGAAACACTGCATCTTCCCCAGCTGCTTTCAGCTTCAAATGGCAAAGCTCAGTCATTTTCTCTTTCAAACCAGAAGTCCACGATTGGCTTTTGCACCACACGGGCTCACACCCAGCACTGCTGTGCCCTGAAGATGTTGCACGGTGCCTTGAGGATGCTGCCCACCCCCTGTGGTTCTCTGCTGCTCTCCATTGCATTCCTAAGGTAGGGGGAAATGGCTCAGATTGTGAATGTGTGAGCAGCTTTAGCAGGGGCAGCTCTCATGACCTTTCAAGGGCTGCGGGAGGCCCCTACCCAGCACCAGTAACTGTGCTTGCTGAGAAGCAGGTGGGTGCACTGCTGGGAAGCAGAGAAATGCACCTCTTGAGCATGGTAGGAACTTTGGGACTGGCAAACTGTCTAATGCAGTGGCCTTGTATATTCAGCATCACTCTCATATCATCATGTAAAGTATTTATGTACCTCATAAATATGGAATAACTTGTAGGAACCTGTAGGGACAATATTATTCAGCTTTTCAAGCTCATTATGCAGGTAATGGAAGCATTTTCACTCTGCTGAGCTTGTTACACAATGGCACTTTTGCCACTGAATTCTGACTTTGTCAGCCAAGCACAATCCCGACAGCTGATGTGAAAATCATAAATGGATTATGTATATTAAAATATTTTTGATACTGAGAAAAGAATGAAGATATCACTATCTGGGACTTTAGTTGCCCTGAACAATTCAGCTGCAGACCCACATCTGTGTAAATGATGTGACTGCTCCCACTGGCATCACCCAAGCGTAGGAGAACCCTCCCAGCTGAAGCACAAGATACCACCATCAACTCGTTTCACTTTGGGCCTCCATCACAACCGACGTCCCTGGCTGTGGTCCTGGCAGTGCTCTGCCAATGGAACGTACCTGCAGTACCAGTGAGGGCAGTGTGATGGATCTGCCAGGTGATGCCCTGGCTGCTGCTGGCCTTTCTTTGAACAAGTCTCAAAAATAGCTTTTCTAATTGTCTCTTGAACTGCCTACTCCTCCTGATTAAGCAAGCAGGGCTAATTACAAGATGAAGCCCAGAATTATCCACTGGAAGATAGATATTTGTTAATGAAATCGATTGATCACGAAACTAATGATGTCCAGCGCTTGGGGCCATCCTTGATGATGGACAGTGCTGGTTTGTGAGGGTACAAAGTGAATGTAGCTGGCTCTGGCCTCTCCTCTTCCAGGCAGTTATTTGTGATTAGTTTTATTTCACCCCAAAGCACAACAGGGTAAAGAAGAGATCTCTTTTACACCTCTGTTTACTCTAGAATTGCATCTGTTTTACTCCTCTCTGAATTCAAGTATCTACATCCTTCTACTGGAGAAAAAAAAAAAAAGGAAATGAAGCCATCTTAATTTTTTTTTCTTTAAATCTTCACAGGAGCAGGCAGGAACAAGCACTTAAAAATGCACACTGCTAAGACTGTGATAACAGGACCTGGGGAGAAAGACTACATAACTATCAGCTTTTGGCATGTAGTTCTACACTGTCTGGTAATGAAGATGAATTGTGTCTTTTGAAACCCTTTCTTTAAAATTAGCTTAAATTAATGTGCAGGAGTGAGCATTCTTGATCCTGCGCACTTCTACAGAACTTACAGTGAAGCTGATTGCTGAATTATCTGGCTTTTATTTGTGAGATGGGGAAAAGTCCTGCAGGCACACAGAAGGTATCCTGGAACTAAGGCAGGCAGTGATGTGCCTGTGACAGCTGACCTCATCCTGGCCAGGTGGATTTGTGCCCCTACAGAGCAGGAAGAAGAGGAAAAAGCTGCAGCAGCCCCCTGATGCTCATGCCCTGAACCAGCTGCACGCTGGGCTCAGTCCCAGTGATGGGACATATGGCAAAAACACTTATGGCAAAAGACATTCTGAATGGCCAAAGGTGTTATGCATTGCCAAGGCAGTGCTGAGATGCTGAGTCTGCCAGAAAGGTGAAGCTGCCTTTATCTCCAACACAGGATGAAACCTGACTGTTGGTGCTGCAGCAGCCCCCCTGCTGACCACAGGGCTCTGAGTCAGGGGCAGCGCAGAGCAGGGTGGATTTGTCTGGAGTTGGAGAGGAAGCGAAGAAGATGAAGGATTCCTGCCCTTCTGCTCCTGCTCTCCCACCCTGCCTCGATGTCCAGCTGGCCAAGCTGTGATAGAGTCACTGTGGACATCCAGCAGCATCCTGGAACTTCTGCTCTCATTTCAATATTGCATTTCAGTTTTTATGTGCTCTGCATCACTGGGGGGTTGCAAAGGGGACAGTGCCAGGCACAAAGTGGGGAGCTCACCAGAGGCAGAACTCTTCAGATACTCTGTGTTTGTGAAAAGCAGAAAAAAGATGTTGAAATTTAGTAAAAAGGCTGTACTCCACCAAGCTTTTGTGCTGGGTATACAGAAAGGAGGGAGAGAAGACGGGAAAGAGGGAAAATAAGGGCACATCCATCTCTCTGTATTTTGCTGCTCTGCTAGAATCTGTGGTTGTCAGATACTCCAATCACCTGTCTGTGGGGCTGCAATCCATCTCAGGGTGAGCCAGGAGGAGATACACCATTGGCTATTTCACATGCAGTGTGTCATCTGGCAGGCTGTACATATAGTGAGGAAAGCGGGGACCACTCAGTCTCTGAGCAAAGCTGCTTCCAGTGAATAGCTCAGAGATAATCTGAGGATGGAAAGAAATGGGAAAGGCTTCCCCTGCTTTTTTTTTTTGTTATTGTTGTTGTTCTGATAAGCTCTGAAAACTGTTGGGAAATGGAGCGCTGATTGATGAAGGACTGTGTGGAATAGCAATAAAGCACTTTTCCAAGGAGAAGCTGTGAGAGAGAAGAACAGTACCTGAAAGTAAATATTTCATAGGATTTCTTCCTACATAGAGGAAGTGTTTGGGGATATTTCAGCATCTGAATCGTCTCCTGTATACAGGACGTATGGGACTGAAAAAGAAGAGCAGTACCTGGAGAGTCCTGGAGCACAGCTGATGCACAATCAGCACAGGAAGAAGGACCCATTTATCAACTCCTTTATGCGCTTTGCATCTGCAGAGCATATTTTTACAATGCAAGCATGCATGTTCCTCTCTGCAACCGCTGACTGTAGCACCTGAGCTCCCAGGAAGGAGGAGGGCAGGGAAACTTGCTGCTGGCCCCGTGGCAGCACTTCCTGAGCCATGAGCAGGCACACGTGGTTCCCTCTGCAGTACATCTCCAAGCCCTTCTGGAGAACAGAGAATCACACCGGCACCAGCTTCCTCTCCACACGGTACAGCTTCCCAAATCAGTCCTTCTTCCACAGTGATTTGGACCTGGAGGACTTGGGAGACTTTGACAGTGGGACGAAATACGAGGGCGAATCCCAGAGCAGGACGGTGCAGGCGCTGCTGATCATAGCTTACTCAGTGATCATCTGCATCTCACTCTTTGGAAACACCCTGGTGTGCCATGTGGTGATCAAGAACAAGAGGATGCACTCTGCCACCAGCCTCTTCATCATCAACCTGGCCGTGGCCGATGTGATGATCACTGTCCTCAACACCCCCTTCACGCTGGTAGGACTTGGGCAAGGCTTGGTGGGGTGGTGGGATGTGGAGCAGGGAGCTGTGTGCATGCACACATCAACAACCTGCTGGCATACAGAATTTTCTAGCAGCTCTCCCCCCCTGCTCTTGTCTCATGGGTGGGCTGTGTGCTGTGCACAGCTTCCCCTGTGCAGATATGGGCTTGGTGCAGAGATGGGGCCACTTGCCTCCGTGTCCCAGAGCCCACCAGGAGGCCTCCCCTCCTGGTACTGTTCCCTCTCCAGGATGCGGACAATACTGGGGTGTCCTGCTTGTGCTTTAGTGGGGAAGGGAGCTGGGATATGTTTAGCACTTGAAGGCACAATTAGCTGTCAATTTGCTATAGAAACGCAAGCAGTCGCTGCTTGTGAAGACTGTGAGGTCTGTGCAGTGCCATGCAGCTCTGTGTGCCTCTAACCAGAGCTGGGAGTCCTTTGTTTGCTCCCAGGCACTAAATAATGGTGGCCATAAAGAGAAAAACAGAGTGAGGTGGGACAAATAGGCTGCTGCATTGCCTACAAGTGATGCAGTGCAGGACTGTCAGTGTAGCTGAGTTTGGCAGAGTCCTCTGGATCCTGAGCATCCCGAGTGCTCCTATTGTGCTCTCTGGCCATAGCTGCCCACAGCTCCCTTCCACCTTCCAGAAGCACTCCCTGCATTGCTGACTTGAATTCTCCTTTTCTCAAGCCAATCCTATGTCTTTGGAAGGGTTTCTCTGCTTTGCACTTTTGGGATTGTTCTGGGAGAGAACAATGTGAGCATTGGCACAGCAGTTACATATTGGGCATAGGTAATTAAGAAACTGCAATCCCTCTTAGAAAAGAGCTTTGCATCAACTTTAGAGAAAAAGAAAATTGCTAAGGTTTCGTTGTTACTGAGTTGTCTCTGTGGGAGTATAATTAGAATTAAAATGGTAGGTTAATTGAAAGCATTAGCTAGTCTTGACTAATCTTCTGTGTGGACATATATGCTGCAGTAAATGTGCCTTATTTCAAATTAGCTTAATCTCCCTCCAGAATGAGTTACACCAAATGCTGTGCAGTGAGGAACACTTACTTAGCACTTGAACAACGTGTGTGCAGGGAGCAAAACAACAGCAGGTACTTGGAATAACTGCCTCTGTAGGACAGGCACAAGAAGCAGCGCCTTCCAGGAATCCGTACGGAATGGCACGAGCCTTTCTGCTGTGCTCTGGCTTCAGACTCCACATGCTCCCCCCAGCAGCAGTGGGATTTCATGCCTGGTGGGGATAACATGGGCACCAGAGGTCAGATCGATGAGGAGGGCTCATTTCCTGGTAAAGTGTTAGTTGCTTTCTCAACTGGAGGGAAATTTTTTCTTCTGTTTGTCTAAGCTAGCTGACACCTATGAAATTGCTGTTGATGTATCTCTAACAATGTGATAAGAGGGAGCCAGCCTCAGAGATCAGTGTGGAGTTGAGGCTGCCATCCCCATTCACTGCTGAGTGGCCACGAGCTTCTGGAGATGCTCCCAATGCAGAGCACCAGCTCCTTTCCAACCCATCCATGAGTTCTTCCATGAATTCATCTCCGAGTTTTGAACCTGTGGCAACTTTATCATGGCACTTCTTCCTTACAGTGCTCCTGGGAAGCCTATTTGCAGCCCTTCAGACAGTGCACAGTTCCAATCCATTGTTTCACCTCTCCAGGTGCGGTTTGTAAGCAGCACGTGGGTCTTTGGAAAGCTGATGTGTCACATCAGCCGGTTTGTGCAGTACTGTTCTGTCCATGTGTCTGTACTGACCCTCGCTGCCATCGCTCTGGATCGTCACCAGGTACGTGATGCACCTAGCAGCTGTGTTTGTTGGGAGGTAGGGAGCTACGTGCATTAGGTTTCAAGTTCCAGTTCCTGAAACCCTGCGGCGTCTTGGGAATGAAGGAACTGGGCTGAGGGATTCTGGTTTTCATGCTGCTGGACAAAAACCTGCTTCCTCGTGGTAATGGTGGTCCAATTAGAGAGGTTGTGGAGTTCCCATCCTTGGGGATATCCCAAAGCCAACTGGAGGCAGCCCAGGGCAGCCTGCAAGGTATGCTTTCTTGCAGTGCCGGAGCCTGCAGTAATGGCTGTTACTGATAAGCACAACAAATGACACAGAGAAATTAAGTTTAAAACAGTAACTGGTGGCACTCTGATTGCCTGGGTTGTGCTCCATCTGGTGTTGGAGCACAGATCATCCATTCCCATCCAAGGAGTTTGGTAGTCTGCTCATTCTACAGATACTGCAGCTCCTGAAAGAAAATTCTGATAATGTTGTATTTTAATTAGTAGATTTTTGTCATTTTTATCGGTTGAGGGTGCTTTAAATCCACTGAACTGGTTGTTCTCTGCAGGTTATCATGCACCCTCTCAAGCCGCGCATGTCCATGGTGAAAGGAGGGATTTGCATCATTATCATCTGGGTTATGGCCAGCTGCTTCTCACTGCCTCATGCCATCTATCAGACCTTGACAAGGTTTTACATCGGGTAAGACATATGCACGGTGCTCCTTTGTAGGACATACTCAGTTTAGTCAAGGTCACACAGATTCTAATGCATGTTTCTCCGTCTGAGTTACTGAAATGTGAAGCATGGGGAAGCAGAGAAGTCTCCTTGGCTTTGAGTCGATGGTGACTTTCTCTCAAATGGATAATGAAAATCAATGAAATTGCTTTCAGGCTTGTTGTTGGTTGATGTTGACTCAGAGATTCAGCGCTGTCATTTGAGTCAGGCACAGAAGAGAGATGCTCTTCAGCATTAGAGCATTTATATTTTCTGAGGATATGTTTAAAATACTTCCACTGAGGCCAAAGCTCAGGCTTAACGTAGAATTCTCTGAAGAAGCCCTCACCCACGTTACTGAATGAGTTCCACTGCCTGTACCTTTACTGAGATGCATAAGTGTGTCCTGCATGTGTTGTGCGATGTGCTGTGGGACTGACAGCTCTCTCCCTCTGATCCCAGGAACAGAACAATACGAACTGTTTGCCTCCCCAGCTTCCCTCCTCCTGCTGACCTTTTCTGGAAGTATTTGGACTTGACTACATTTGTTCTCCTGTATGTTCTGCCCTTGCTTGTGATCTCCATTACCTATACCATCGTGGCTAAGAAGCTCTGGCTGAGAAATGCCATTGGGGACATCACTATGGAGCAGTACTACGCCCATCAGAGGAAGAAGAAGATGACGCTGAAGATGCTGATGGTGGTGGTGATTGTGTTTGCAGTCTGCTGGTTTCCCCTGAACTGCTACGTGGTGCTGATCTCCTGCAGGGCCATCCACAGCAGCAATGCTCTGTACTTTGCTTTCCACTGGTTTGCCATGAGCAGCACTTGCTACAATCCCTTCATTTACTGTTGGCTGAATGAGAATTTCAGGTCTGAGCTGAAGTCCCTGCTGTGTGCATGCCAGCGGAGGAGCGCAGCACAGAGCCATGCCCTGCAGTCCATCTCCCCTCCATTCAGGCCAGCTTGGCTCGAGAGCTGCCAGTACAAGAGAGGCAGCACCTGCCAGAAAACGGCATCATCCCAAAGGAATTCTGCCAAGACAGACATATCCAGCGTTCGGCCAATTGTGGCAGAGCACTGACCCCTGTCTGGTGGCCGGGCAGCATGCAGTCTGTCCCACTTTGGGAAACTGAGCTGCCGGTCAGCAGTGATGACGGTGTGGCAGCCGCTCAGCAGGATGCTGCACTTTGGGTAAAGCCTGCACTGTAACACTAGGATAAACGGTTTTTAAAATCTGAAGCTGGAAAAGTTGGCACAGGGTTTGTTTGTAAAACTTCATGCCCTCCCCTAGATAATAACGTACCTTCTGTGTAACCTGGCTTAGAATCCTCACAAGCAGGAGCCTCACCAACATCAGGCAGTGCTGTGCTCAGGGCTGTGGCTCTGTGCCTGGTATGGACCCCAGGCCTTCATGTTGAGAAACAGAGGGATGCACAGAGAGCTGTGTGTAAACACGAGGGGAAGGGGAAGGTGTTCACCTCTGGAGGGTGATTCTCATTTTAACTGTGAAAAAAAGAGATCTGTGGGCTCACTGCAGAGGCTGTCAGCTTCCTCTCCTGCGTGCTGCTGTCGGGCTGGTAACCTGAATTCGGGCTCAGCTTTGGATTGCTGCTATGGTTAAGTGATCCAGAACTAATTGTGCAGGAGATGAGTTTGCTTCTGGAGTAAAGATTAGCTGATTGTGTAACTATTAAGCTAAAGCTAACAGTGCCCTTCCTTCACTGCAGATTTTGTTCATTTTTTGAATTTTTGGTCACTGACTCAGACCTGAGAATTGTTCCCTGATCTTATCCTACTTCTACAGCAAGGCCGATCTGTCACAAAACCATTATTTGCACAGATGTCAGTGTCTGGTAAGGTGAGGATGAACCCAATGCTTTACGTGACAGAATGAGAACCCATTATTTTCTTTCTGAGAAAAAGATGATTTGGCTTTATGGAATGGAGAATCATCCTCCACAGTGTGTGCTGACTCTTAAACTGCCCCTTTTTCATTTTTAATATTCTCTTGTTGAAAAGTGGCCCAGGGGTAAACGGGTTTTC